TATGTATGTTTTAGACCACTACAAATCTCTTCACTGCTGTGTGTAAAACATGCTAATGAGTGTCTTTCAGGTTTAAGTCTCTGGGAACACAGTGTGTAATGTTAAAGATGTTTGTATCATACTTCAATTAAGCGTTATATTAAACATCCAGCAGGGTCTTAATGAAAAACAACCCCAAAGCACAGTTTAGAAATTACTGATCAGACTTGTCCGAGGACTGTCTGGGCGTGGCCTGGTATTCTAATGAGCATGTGTGATTGACAGCCAGCAGTCCAGCACACCCAGCCTACTACAGCACTGAAGACTCAACAGCACAGGTGAATACTCAAATATATGTTTCAGCATCAACCCTGCATATACAGTCGAAGATGAAAACATTCATTTGAATAAAAATAGAATATTTCCCGCAGCTTATTCAGCGGTGAAATAATGTACTGTCACATTAAGTGATGTGATGAAAGTGGAAGTGACATCATTTCGCTCCTCTGAGGAGTCGAGTTCAGAAAGCTGATAAATTTAGTTTTCACTCAACATTGATCGTTTGTTGTTTTTTCCTCCTAGACAGGGCGCTGTGAAGCACCATCACACACAATAGATCAAACAGATGGAGAAAACAGATTTATGATATATTTTGCATTATTCACAGACAAATGATGTAATTTACTGTTGAAAAGCTGATGTTAGAAGGTCGATGTGTGCCGGACAGTTTTTCATGAAGTGTTCCACCTTGTCACATTCCCCCTCTGTCCGGTTCAGTGTGATGGGATTGGCCTTCTCAGTGTTGGGCACAAAAAATAAAATGGTTACTGAGGTGAGAAAATCTGTTTTAGTAAAAGCAAATATAAGTGAAACTGTGGAGGGCAAAAAACTTTGATTTCTGAACATGAAAACTTTTCAGATTTCATGGCAGTTTGGTACCATTGTCATGGAACAGCTCTCTTCTGTTTTAGTGTCTGGGAGACAGACAGACAGACAGAAACCTGAATGGATGGATGGATGGATAGATAGATAGGTAGACAGATAGATAGGAGAGGATGAGAGGAAAGTGATATATATATACACTGATCAGGCATAACATTATGACCACCTCCTTGTTTCTGCGCTCATTGTCCATTTTATCAGCTCCACTTACTATATAGGTGCACTTTGTAGTTCTACAGTTACAGACTGTAGTCCATCTGTTTCTCTGATACTTTGTTAGCCCCCTTTAACCCTGTTCTTCAGTGGTCAGGACCCCCATGGACCCTCACAGAGCAGGTACTATTTGGGTGGTGGGTCATTCACAGCACTGCAGTAACACTGATGTGGTGGTGGTGTGTTAGTGTGTGTTGCACTGGTGCAAGTGGATCAGACACAGCAGTGCTGCTTGGATCGTGAGAGCAGAAAATGCAGCTAACTTCTCAGACTGAACTTTGGAAATATCCCTCCAAGTAATAAGAAGATGAAGAGTGGACACAATAATAATATTTATAACTAAATTATATTTACAGTCAGGTCCATAAGTATTTGGACACAGTTTTTGTACTAGTGTGTTTGTACACCACCACAATGGGTTTGAAATTAAGCATTCACGATGTGATTGTGTGAAGTGTGCAGACTTTCAGCTTTAATTCAAGGGCTTTAGGAATTACAGCCATTTTTACATCGTCCCTCCATTTCAACAAGCTCAAAAGTAATTGGACATCTGACTGATAAACAGTTCCATGGGCAGGTGTGGCATGTTTGCTTGTTAGTTTTGTGACAAATTAAGGAGAAAAGGTCCATTGATTGGCACATTGTCCTATTGAGTCCAAGTGTTGAATATGCATTTGGTAGCTGTTCATGGGAACTCTCAATATGTGGCCCAGAAGGTGTTGATGCAAGTGAGGGGGGCCACAGTAAAACAGATCTCATAGAGATAGCTGAAACTTTAGGAGGGGCCAAATCAACAGTTTGGTGCATTGTTAAAAAGAAGGAATGCACTGTTGAGCTCAGCAACACCAAAAGGCCTGGAAGACAACTAAAGTGGAAGACCGCAGAATTCTTTCCATGGTGAAAAAAAACCCTAGTCTAGTGAAGTCGAGGACGTTTAGAGGAGGTTGGCGTATCATTTTTTAAAGTCCACAATCATGAGATGCCTTCATAAATGTGAGTATAGAGTTTTACTTCAAGATGCAAACCACTGGTAACAGAAAGGCCAGATTAGACTTATAGTAAACATCTAGTAAACCAAGATTAACTTGTACCGGAATGATGGGAAGAGGAGAATATGGAGACGAAGACGAAGGGCTCATGATCAGAAGCATACTGCATCATCTGTGAAACATGGTGGAGGTAGTGTCATGGCATGGGCGTGTATGGCTGCCAGTGGAACTGGGTCGCTGGTTTTATTGATGATGTGGCTGCTGAAAGAAGTAGCAGGATGAATTCTGAAATGTATAGAGCTCTACTTTCTGCCTAGATTTAGTCAAATGCTGCAGAACTGGTAAGACTGAGCTTCACAGCACAGATGGATAATGACTCAAAACACACCGTGAAAGCACCCCAAGAGCTTTTTAAGACAAAGAAATGTAATATTCTTAAATGAGTCAGTCACCTGAGCTCAACCCAACTGAGCTGCCTTTCACTTACTGAAGAAAGACTGAAGGCAGAAAGACTCACAAACAAGCAGCAGCTGAAGGCACTGCAGTAAAGGCCTGATGAAGGCCTGGAAACTCAGTATTTGGTGATGTCTATGGGTTTCAGACTTCAGACAGTCATTCACTGCAAAGATTTGCATCCAAATATTAAAAATCCTTGTATTTATAATTGTTTGTCCAGTTATTTTGCACCTGTGACACTGGAGGGACTATGTAAAATGGCTGTAAATGGTTAATGCAATATTTTGTTAAACACCTTGAATTAAAGCTACAGTTAAAGTCTACACTTTATTCACATCTTGACTGCTTCATTTCAGATACTTTGTGGTGGTGTACAAGGGCAGAAAAATAGTGTCACTGTCCAAATACTTATGGACCTGCAGTTGTTGAGGCTGTTCATGTTTGTTAAACGTTTTCTGTTTTGTTTTTTTTTCCTGACACTGAAAAAAGAATAACTGGTTCTTAACAGCCGTTTAGACTGGAAGTTAAATAAAGGAGGGGTGGTCTCTGAGTTCTGCACAGTGCTCTGTATAATTTGCTGCATTGTTTTTTCTGCCGTGCCTGTTTTACTGCTATCTTTTCCTAACAAGCAAGCTTAAGATATTGTAGGCAGTGCTTTGGCTGTTTCTGAATTAAATTACATGGAAGAACAGCACTGAGCCTGTGTCTTGTGTATATAATGGGTTTTTGGGGAAACGTTATCCTCACCAAAGCCACTGTTGTACTTTAGGATGTGTGTGTGTGTGAGAGAGAGTTCAGATTGAGCAGCCTGTTTGCATTACTGATGAGCTGGAGTCAGACACAGGCTCTTTCAGAAAAGACTTTTTATTGCACTTTGCCAGCAACGGTTTCAACTTTGAAAGCAGAAATCCAGAAAAAAAATATTCAGCAAAGCAAAAAAAAATCTAAACTTTAGTCTCGAAACTCTCAGAATCTCTGACAGGCCTGATAAACTGTACAACAAACGCAACCACATTGTGTGAGTAAGTCTCCAGGTGCCAGGGATCGCCTTAGGAAGCATCTCACCTGAATAACTCAGTGAACCCCCCCAAACAAAGTTACCTGCAGGTCCATCCACAGTGTAATTCACTGTGCGACAAAATAGGCCTCGATGCGACCGCAGTGCTCACACTGGCCCTTATTCATCGGGGTTGGGTAAATAGAACGCAGATTTGATGGTCTTTAAAGGCGTATAAACTGCGTCTGATTCATACTTTCGTACGGAATGGAAACAAGTGGAGATTTGAGCTCGATCAGCTTCAGTGCGTGAAATCAAGCGCCAGTCTATTAGTGGCTCCATTACACATCATTTACATAAGGCACGCCCTAAATCATGCAAGGGAGGCAATAAAATGACAGCGTTCAGCAGCTCGTGAGCCAATAGGTGGAGTTTCAGTTCACTGAGTACACTGCTCCCCCTACTGACCAAACTTTATAGTGTTAAAATTATGACCACTGGAAGAATAAAATGTGAAATAAACAAAATGTATAAGATTTTGTGATTGTGCAGTGTGATTATTTTCCTAAACTCTGTATTATTGCAGGACATGACGCTAGCAGTGTTTTGTTTTGTTTTGTTTATTTTGTGGGCGGAGTCAGTACTATAAGCAAAAGCACAGTGTAATATTCCTTTAAATGGAACATTGAATTTTTGCAGTGTTTGTTTATAACAGTGTGTTTGTAAAATAAATACATATCCTTTTGTACTGGATTGCCATGAGCACAAATTAGTGGTTTTAATGTTATTTTCTATTTTTATGCTTTTTTATTAATATTATAGATGATATTGATAATAGTTTTGGTTGGTTAAATCAAGCAGGAAGTGAGGCTGCATCCCTGTCCCTCATGGCCACATGGTGAGCAGTTAGATCCCATTGTTTTGAAGTAAATGTGTCCCAAAGTCTGAAAATCAGTGTGGAACATTAAGAATCGTCATATTTTCTGCAGTTCAGCACTTTTTAGTGTTTTAATGTAAAATATGATGATTTTCTGTGTGAACGGCTGTTCAAAGCTGTGTTTGCTGGTCATGAACTGGCTGAGTTTCTGAGCTCAAAATGAGCTAAAATTGTCACCAAAACAGTCACAGCTGAACATTTGGTAAAGTTTGGGTAGAGTTATGATTGTTCTGGTAGTGATGAAATAGGATGTTCAATAATTATTTTAATAAAATAATCATAATTAAGGTTTAGAGTCACTCAAAGCAAAAGGATTTTAGTCTAAAGTCCCAAATGTGTTTCAGCTCTGACTTTGAACCAGTTCAGTAGAATCATCCATACATTCTTTTCCCATAAAACAAAAACAGTCAGATCTCTATCTGGTGTAATGTTGTGAAATGTGTCCCCGGATGTTGTAGTTTAATCACGAGTCTATTTCTGTGTGCAGGTGTCTCTCTAGCCCCCACTACCCACTGCCGCCATGTTTAAGAACAGCCTGAAGATGCTCCTGGGGGGCAAGGCCAACAGGAAGAGCCGCAACAGCACCGGTCAGTCTCACCTCTCTCTCACTGTGCTGTTCATCACTGAGCGGTTCTCAGCTGTGGGAGATGCAGCACTAGTCTCGACAGCCAACTCACATCTCCTAAACGTTTACCGTAAAGCCGTCTCAGCCTTCCGCATTGCTAGAAAACATGAAGGCTGCATTTTCAGTCTAGACTCCCCTGAAGACAGCTGACCTTTCGCTGTGAGCGGAGTGATTAAATGACTAATGTGTAGGTGTTTGTAAAAGTTTTCTCTTCTAATTCTGAACTTGACTTGGGTCAGAAAATAATTTGAGTCATGCTTTCATTTAAAAGATCTCGTGAATTACAGTATGAGCACCGTTGTTCAGACAGAGCGTTTCTTGCGGTGGCTGTCAGATCTGGGTTACAGAGACAGCCGTGAGAGCTCGCTGGCAGAATCAAAGAAGTCGACTTGCAAAGCATCTGAAATCCGTGTGATCCAACAAATAATTTTGTAGGTTTTAACCTTGTCACATCAAGGATTCCCCGATGTAGCAATGTAATCGCTGTATGGTATTATGTTATATTGTGCGGACCTAATGAGCCTTAACAGAATTTAATCGATATCAAAATTGAAAGTTCATGAACAAACTTTAAGTTGGCTTGATAAAAGCTACCGGCATCTTAGCAACCATCTGGGATAACATAGCAACTCCTTAGCAACCGCTTAAGATACCATAGAAATAGCCCAGTAATTGCCTAGCAACAGCCTAGCAACATCTTAGCAACAACCCGGGATGCCATAGCATTGATCTAACAACACCTTAGCAACCACCTAAGATGCCATAACAATAGCCTAGCAACATCTTAGCAACCAGCTGGGATACCATAACAATGACCTAGCAACATCTTAGCAACCACCTGAGATAATATAGCAACACCTTCGCAACCACCTGGGATGCCAAAGCAGTGATCTAGCAACACCTTAACAACCACCTGAGATACCATTGAAATAGCCCAGCACCTTAGTAATCATCTGAGATTCCATAGCAAGGGCTTAACAACACCTTAGCAACCACCTGGGATGCCATAGCAGTGGCCTAGCAACACCTTAGAAACTACCTAAGATGCCATAGCAACAGCCTAACAACACGTAGCACAAAGCAACAGCCTAGCAACACCTTATCAACCGCCTGGGATGCCATAGCAATGGCCCAGCAACATCTAGCAACCACCTGGGATACCACTGCAATGACCTAGCAACATCTTAGCAACAACCTGGGATACCATAGCAATGGTCCAGCATCCTCCTAGGATTTCCTACCAGCGGTTTAGTCAAACCAATCTAAAGCTCTTTCATGAACTTCGTCCTTCTAGTTTAATCCGTTAGCAGCAGTGCTGAACCTGGGAGATACAGCTCACCACAGTTAAGAAATGAAAGGAATTATAAACGAATTCACAGAGAGAGCAGATTTAACCTCATGTTAACTCCATGTGTCCACCTCACCAAACGCTGCTGCGACCACCCCATGTAAGCTTACTTGATTTAATTGAGCACTACAGTATTTTTAAGCCCTTTATGTGTTTATCCTGCTACTATCACTACAACCCCATTTCCAAACTGGGACGCTGTGCAAACAAAATGCAATGATGTGCCAATCATTTAAATCCTATATTTCATTGAAAATAGTACAAAGACAACATATCAGATGTTGAAACTGAGAAATAGTATTTTTTTTTTATATATATATTTGCCCATTTTGATATTGATGCCAACAACACGTTCCAAAAAAAGTTGGGACGGGAGCAGCAAAAGGCTGGTAAAGTTGTGTAATGCTAAAAAAACACCTGATGGTTAATTGGCAACAGGTCAGTAACATGATTGGGTATAAAGAGCATCTCAGAGAGGCGGAGTCTTTCAGAAGTAGAGATGAGGAGGGGTTCACCACTCTGTGAAAGACTGTGTGGGCAAATAGTTTCTCAACATAAAATAGCAAAGAACTTCTGCTTTTCATCATCTACGGTACATAATATCATTAAAAGATTCAGAGAATCTGGAGAAATCTCTGTATGTAAGGGACAAGGCCAAAAACCAGTACATGCTGGCCGTGATCTTTGGGCCCTCAGACAGCACTGCATTAAAAACAGACATGATTCTGTAGTGGAAATCACTGCATGGGCTCAGAAACACTTCTGAAAACCACTGTCTGTGAACACAGTTCATCACTGCATCCACAAATGCAAAAAATGTTAAACTCTAAAACACAAAGAAGAAACCATAAATAAACAGGATCCAGAAACGCTGCCTCCTTCTCTGGGTCTGAGCTCATTTAAAATGGACTGAGGGTGAAGTGGAAAAGTGTCCTGTGGTCTGATGAATCAACATTTGAAATTCTTTTTGGAAATCATGGACACTGTGTCCTCCGGGATAAAGACCACTCAGCTTGCTATCAGTGCACAGTTCAAAAGCCAGTATTCCTGATGGTATAGGGGGGCATTAGTGCACATGGTATGGGTGACATGCACATCTGTGAAGGCACCATTAATGCTGAACGATATATACATGTTTTGGCAACATATGCTGCCATCCAGATGACGTCTTTTTCAGGGAAGGCCTCGATTATTTCAGCAAGACAACATTAAACCACTTTCTGCATGTATTACAACAGCATAGCCTTGTATTGAAAGCGTCCGGGTGCCATACTGGCCTGCCTGCAGTCCAGACCTGCCACCACTGATAAGGTTTGTCGCATTATGAAATGAAAAATGTTGCAAATGAGACCCTGAACTGATGAGCAGCTGAAATCCTGTATCAAACAAGAACAGGAAAACATTTCACTTTCAAAACTACAGCAGTGTCTCCTCAGTTCCCAAACGCTTACAGAGTGTTGTTAAAGAAGAGGTGATGAAACACAGTGGTAAACAGGCCCCCGTCCCAAACTTTTTTGGAAAGGGTGTCGTTGGCATCAAATTCAAAATGGGCATATATTTTTCAAAAAAACAATAAAATTTCTCAGTTTCAACATTTGATGTGTTGTCTTTGTAGTATTTTCCTTTAAAAATATGGTTTTATATGATTTGCATATCATTGAATTCTATATTTATTTACATTCTGCACAGCGTCCCAACTTTTTTTGGAAATGAAGTTATTGGTGCTTTAATTTTTTGAGCGTCTGGATAATAAACACAAATGATCCACTCGAGACAAAGACTATTAGCTAATGTCAGCGTCTGCCGTAATCAGCCTGTTTCTCTCTTCTTACTCACACAGACAGTCTGTGTAAAGTGAGCTTTTCCAGAAACACTGTCATTTATAAGAACTTGTAGGTTGATTTAAACGAATACTCCAGCACTTTCAGCCCAGTCTGTTTCTGCTGCCTCTGTAGAGTCGATCTCCACAGATCTGTTTTCTCATACTTAGAAAAGAACAGTGATGACAGAGCAATAATAATAAATAACGATTTAATTGAAGTCAGTGGGCAGACGCTGTAGCAGTCCCTGCTGGTGCAGCACTGCTGTGGCAGGTAGAGATCTGAAAAAAGCTGGAGTATTTTTTATTTTTTTTGATCCACTGAGGCGACGTGTCCAGTTGTGATTTGTTTTGAATAAGCAGCTCATGCTGAGATGGAAGGCTGCGGCAGGCTCAGAGGCAGGTCATTAGCAGGCAGTGGAGCGGTCGTCTCTGAAGCTCCGGGCTGCAGCTGTAGAATGATAGAAGAACAGCCTCGAGCTCTGAGGGTCTTCACTGACTCTGAAATCTCTCACAGAGTCAGAACAAGAAGCTTCATCGCTCCTGTTTCTACACTGTCCACTTTGTAGTTCTACAGTTACAGACTGTAGTCCATCTGTTTCTCTGATACTTTGTTACCCTGTTCTTCAGTGGTCAGGACCCCCATAGGACCCCCACAGAGCAGGTACTATTTGGGTGGTGGATCATTCTCAGCACTGCAGTAACACTGACGTGGTGGTGGTGTGTTAGTGTGTGTTGCGCTGGTGCGAGTGGAACAGAGTGGAACAGCAGTGCTGCTGGAGTGGTTGTACTAGGAGGGGTTTGGTTGTACTGGGAGGAGTTCTGGTTGTACTGGGAGATGTTTTGGTTGTACTGGGAGGTGTTTCGGTTGTACTGGGAGGGATTTTGTTTGTACCGGATGGGTTTCGGTTGTACTGGGAGTGGTTACGGTTGTACTTGGGGGGGATTTTGGTTGTACTGGAAGGGGCTTTGATTGTACCTTTAGGGGTTTCAGTTGTACTGGGAGAGGTTTCAGCTGTACCGGACGGAGTTTCGGTTGTACTGAGAGGAGTTTTCAATGTACAGGGAGGGGATTCGGTTGTACTGGGAGGAGTTTTGCTTGTATTGGGAGGGGTTTTGGTTGTACTGGGAGGGGTTTCGGCTGTACTAGGAGAGGTTTTGGTTGTACTGGTAGGAGTGTTAGTTGTACTGGGATGGGTTTCGGTTGTACTTGGGAGGAGTGTTGGTTGTACTGGGATGGGTTTCGGTTGTACTGGGAGGGGTTTCGGCTGTACTAGGAGAGGTTTTGGTTGTACTGGGAAGAGCTTCGGCTGTACTGGGAAAAGTTTTGGTTGTACTGGGAGGACTTTCAGTTGTACTGGTAGGACTTTCAGTTGTACTGGGAGGAGTTTTGGTTGTACTGGGAGGGATTTTGGTTGTACTGGGAGGAGTTTTGGTTGTACTGGGAGGGGTTTTGGTTGTTGAATGTATGTTGGGGAGACGGATGTGTTTACGCTGCTATAACGTAGCTCAAATGCGTCTCAGTCCACCTCCTGAAGCGGTCTGACTGATCGGTTTTGTATCCTGTGGCCTCATCCAGATATAACCCTGATGCTCATGAAGACACATGAAGTGCCCAGGTGTAAACCGGGTCATACACACACTCAGCGGATCAACCGATATATTTAAAAGACACTTTGATCTGTTTGGATGGAGCCAAAAGACTTGCTTGAGCAGATTTCAGATCAGTAGATTAAACTGGCAAAACAGCCTCTTTATCCTGCGTCAGATTCCATGTTCGACAAATTCCCCTCCT